AGTCCCATACCAGGACGAAACGGCCATCCAGTGCTTCCAAGTTTCTAATGGTGGTCTAAAATTGATCGATTCATAGTTTCAAAAATGTGTAACTTAATAATTTTCACAACCCCTTAATGCAGATAACAATTCTAACAAATAAAAACTTCTACACAAATAAGTCAAGTATAATTTACGAGATCTATTATTTACTGAGTTATTGATTATTGTTTGACATATTGTTGTCACGATACAATGAATACAGCAACCTATTAAGAGATTGAAACATTAAGTGGACATGTGGATTTTTTTTAATACTGACAAGTTGAAGAACAATTATAGCCAAATCAATGAATACACAAGTTGTAAAATAAACTGAATTGTGAAGAGCATTTAAGACAGTTTCAAACATATTCTTATTAGAATTAATAGTTTGAAGTGACTAACTAATTGTTTAAGTAAGTCATAATCAGTTTTAATGAATACTGATACTTAGTTCAAAATCTTTCCAGAGTACATCAAAGAACAAATTGACTCGATAGTTAGTTAACATGGTGATTGATAATTTAAACAATTATGATCTATTTGTCTAGTAGGACCTATAGATTTTCTTTTGATGCGCGATTTCATAGTAACTGGTATCCAATAATTAAAAAGAAAACGACCTTCATTGTTATTTTCATTTTCATGTGACATGCGACTGATATTCTAGTGTAAAATAAGAAATAGATTTGTTTCAGTCAGTCAGTCAGTCAGATGCAACGTAGAACTTCGTACGTAAGTACATCAGTTCATGTTGCCATACCACATCAGCACAGAGATATAATTGTCAATTCAAATCCAATAGTAGAAGAGGTAGTAAAGGTATTAGAAGTAATCGGAGAGGTTAGGATTAGAAGATATTGTTCAAGAAGTATGATTCAGTGAGAAAAGTTTAGAAAGTCAAAACTAGAGGGGTTAAAGAATTCAGAAGATTAGGATTTGAGAGATCTCAAAGAATGGATGCACCGGCGCCAATGCAAACGGTTTTGAGCCATGTCACTCAGGGTCTCTAACCATCGATGATTATCATCTCGCGGACCTCAATCAGGTAGTCTACACTTACCGACATGGCTCAGTCCACTTGTCAATGACTTCATGGATTTCTGCCATGTTTTGGTTTGGCCGCCCCTAACTTTCTTCCAACCTATTCCTACACTACAAAACAAAGCTCGTCGCGGCAGTCGGTGGTTAGCCATACGTAATACATGTCCCAACCACCTCAACTGATGAAGTTTCATTACTTCATCTATTGATCTGCCGTTCTTACCTAGCACCCGTTTCCTAACAACAGCGTTGCTCACACGGGTGTCCCAGGATATACGAAAAATGCTTCGAAGACACCTATGATCGAAAACCAATAACCAACGAATATTTTCTACTCTGACTGGCCATGTTTCACAGCCATAAAGTAAGACGGAGCGAACTGCTGCACAGTACACTCGTGCTTTACTCAGCAATCGGATATCTCGCCTACACCATAAGTGACGCAGGTTGGCAAAAGCCACAACTGCAGTCGATGATAAAGGATATGTTAGATAAAAAGATTATAGTTCCTTCATCGTCCCCTTGGGCGTCATCTATTGTTCTTGTGAAGAAGATAGATTCCTCCCTCCAACTCTGTGTAGACTACCGACATCTTAATGATTTATATTATCCGCATAATAGTAAGCTATCAAAAATGATACCATTTTCTAAATACATACATCTTAAAAATATATATATTTTTGTAAATAATACTACAATTAAAAAGAAAAACTCAATTACATCTGGTACTATCACGTACTACATCAGGAATTTGGTTAGAATTTCAGCAAGACAATTAAATTTAAGAGTAGAATATGATGCCATGAAAAAAAATAATAAAATCATGAGTATATAAAATTGGAAGTGTGACACGTACATATTGAGGTTAAGGTACTTAAATGACTAACGCTATAGTTTGTATTTGATATGCTTCAATGCTATTACAAGTTCACCTTACTCGGTAAACGAGAACGAAGACAAATGATCCAGTGATACAATAGGCTATTCTAATCCGATTGTCCTCGGTTAGGGTAACTACATCAAGAATTCTTGAAAAGACGTAGAGAGTGTATATTCTACAAGCAGCCAGAAGATACGATGTCAACAAGCACGCAAATCAGTGTTTCAGAGAGGTTTTGTTATCAGATAACTTGAAAATTGATTCATAACCTAATTGTCAGCTTGTTAACCGCATGAATCACCACAAATTTGACGCTAAATCTTAATTGTCCCTATTATCACATTATTAGCTATTATTACAATAATTCACAAGACATTCTTCGAAGTAGACATTGAAACAGCATCGCTTTCTGATTATTATTATTATTATTATTATTATTATTATTATTACCAAAAGCGCAGTTTACTAGGTTTGAAAAGATTAGGATAGAAGAGAGAAGAAAATATTCAACAAACACGTTGCTGATTGGTTGGTTATCCGTGTGACCTTGAAACAGTTTGAGTAAATTTGTAGGCAAGTTTCATACTGCTGCTTTTAAACGTATGTCTTCTATCTACTATGTATTTATTCTGCCGAGTCATCGATGCATTTACGTGATCTGTGTATTGATGTATATCTATATACATATAGATATAACATGAGAATAAACGAAAGAATTAAATTATACAAACTAGCCTATACAAACATTATTCAAAACTATAGAATAATCAATACAAATTGGGTAGTCAGAATCGATCAGCATTGTAAATAAGAAAAACATGAAAAAATAGGTATATTAAAAAAACTTGAAAAATTCAAAACTATAACTAGACAGATTAGGAAAAATTATTTCAATAAAATAAAATGAAAATAAAATAGCTATGAATCCCTATTAATGTAATAATCATTGTGATACACTGTAGTCACATTTTATTATTTTGATAATTTTCAAAGTTAAATGCTTAGTATATAACGATTATTAATAAGGGAAATTTTCTAACAGGAGAACAACATATCATACAGCATGTAAACGATTACAGTGAGAAGAAGATTATAGTGAGAAAACGTGACTAGTGGAGTTTAACCCTGTCTGGTGTCGGCAGTAACTATCAATGACAAATGGATGAGGTTGCGCAAAATCTGTAGACTGATCAGAGTTAGACATTAACACCGTTGAATGCTGGCCAGCACAGTGGTCCAGAGGTTAGGCGTTGGCGTGCAGGACCGGAGGTCCTGGGTTTGAATACTGATAGATACGCATTGCTGATGAGTTCCATACCAGCACGAAACGGCCATCCAATGCTTCCAAGTTCCTAATGGTGGTTTAACAATGATTGATTAATGATTTCAATGTGTAACAAACACTAATTTCCATAACTCTAAATGAAACATCGTAATTATAATAATTGATTTAATGATAAAAATCTTTAACAAATTCCAGAGATAATTAATTAAAAACTGACGACACGTTGTAACAACATTTATAAAGACAAAGTTTAATAAAAGTAGAAAATATGCAAATAAACTGAAAAAGATGAATTCCTTAAAACTAGTGTCTATGGTGTAATAAAAAGTGTCAAATATAATTGGAATATAAGTGATATTATTAGTGTCAGTATTTACGGTTTGTGATAGTGTTTCGTCCTCTGAGCTGGATATTTTGGTTTTGAAGCTTTCATTGCTGTTCTTCTTCTTCTTCTGAACAACATTATCAGCACAAACTTCAATTAGAAGTGAAGAGTATTAGAATTTCTTCACGTTTGACGTGTAACTAGTTCTGATAACCTCGTTCTTGATTGGTTGCTATTGACCTTAAACCTATTGTTGTTTGCAACTTTGTTTTGATTATATCCCTCTTTTTTTGATCTATTTCTTGATCCTATGTTTGCTTATGATTTTTCTGACTGGTTGATAAATTGAGTCAACATTGTCGATGTGTTTGTTGATTGCTGATTGACCTCTGAGTGCCAAGCTTCTAAAAATTCTCTAGTTTTCTTAGTGCTCCCCCCCTATTCAGTATTTATACATTGTTCCAGTCGAATGTATGTCCATATTGTCAATGTGTATTGATATAAGAAAATAAATGTCGTAGCATTCATGTTCATGTAAACGAAACCGAAGAGGCCATCCACTTTGTTCTATCTAATGTTCTTCATAGTCTGAGCAATTTATTTTCTAGATGATATTTGGTTTTTCTTACTTGTCTCTTATGTATGCTAAGATGATCCGTTTATTGGTTCCTGTAATTGATTTTGCTTCTGTTGATGATTTTTTGATGAAGTTGTGTGGATAGCCGTTTTTTTGGAAGATAGTCATAAGATGCTTTTCATCATTTTTTTAGTGCTTCATATGTGCTGTAGTAGGTCTTCGCTCTCTTGAACAAAGTTTGTATGCAGTTGATTTTGTGGGTTATTCGGTTATTGCTATCATAGTTGAGAATTACGTCTGTGTAGATTGGCTTCCGAAATACTTGAGTTTTCAGTTCCCCTGTGTTAGTTCTGGTGACTAGTACATCTGTAGTGAAGGACAACACAGTTGAGGGCAACCGAACTGTATTTATCGAAAATTACAGAGTTACTCAGTAAAATAGGAAAACTATATCGTAAACCGTTAATTTGCAAATCTTCAATCCATCATCAGTCCATTGTCTGACATTTCACTATTCATGCGTTTCATACAAATTCCATTGTGTTCCCACTCTTCCTTTCTTTATCTTCCCCTATCTTCTGCTGCCAGACATTACGTTGACACTCACGTCATATACTACTTATAAGTAGTGCGCACCACACATCCAGCAATGATAGACTGCTGTTTGATTCCTTTTCCATCGTGAAGCTGATGTTATCGAAGAGATTGTTGTTCATCCGGTTGTAGATGTTGTATTATATAGGTAGTGTTTCAGAAAGTGAGATAACTCTTTTTTATTTTGACCAAAACATAACAATGAAAAAAACAACACGTTTCATAAATTATCTATCACTTTGAAGGATATGTATTGTTAAAGATGCTTGCTTACCTACTATGATACATAATATAAAGATTACACATTTCATCATGATGTGTTGGTCCCATTCCTACATCATGTGTACTAGATGTACTATCATAAATACAACGAGCCATTATTATATCATCATCTCCTATTTCTACACTATCAAATTTTGAGTGCAATTGTTTCAATGGATAAAATGCTTGAGGTAATTGAGGATTGACTCGTCCTAATAATTGTGCTGGTCCATGTCCATGTGGTAAACGATAGCCAATTATAGATCGACCCATTGAATGTGCATGTCCTCGAATAGCCATTATTGTGATTGGGATCGTGGATGAAATACTACAGATAGAAAGAGATGAATGAAATTATAAAATGACAAATATGATATGAGATTAAATAACACAATTTTGTTAGGGATACCAAGGTGAAAGCAATTGTTACACTATCATAAATTCTAAGCTATTTCAGTTAAATAACTGAATTATAAGCTACTATCATTTCATCACTCTGTATTACTTACATTCAGTAAAAGTCATAAATTAGCAGTCCTTAACAGTTCACTAATTCTTATGTTAGTCAACATCCGAGGTTGTAGCATGGTTTCGCCTACATCACAACAAGTACTGCAATTTTCCTAAACGAAGTCGAAGTTTTTTTATCAGTCTCTCTGAGATTTGCTTAATTGATGACCTATTGAAACTGATGAAACTCTCAAGGTGAACAATGTCATCGAAGCGATTTACTAGACTCATACTTTTCAGATGTTTTATTGGATTGCTTTGGACTTAATAACCTCTATATATAGATATACATAAGTCAAGCAATATCTAAATTATATCTACAAAAGTATCAGCTTTATAAGGGGAAGTAAACAAAATAATCAGACTGTTGTCAGAAATAGATTAACGAAAAGGCGACTGTAAATGTTGACCATCATTTATTTTCAAAATTTTTCATGTTTATCAAAAAAGATCGCAAGTAATTTGTGAAAATGAATAGAAAGTGCTTGTGTCTGTTCCTTTGGAATTTCAAAGTCATATTATAAAAAGCTTTTTATACTGGTGAAAAATGTTCACTTAATGAGAATTATTCCCATTCGAAATTATGAAATGGTCAAAGTTAGACCACCATTAGAAACTTGGAAGCACTGGACAGCCAAAGGTCCCAGGTTCGAATCCTGCGAGGAGCAGGAGTCATGGATGCGCACTGCTGATGAGTCCCATACCAGGACGAGACGGCCATCCAGTGCTTCCAGGTTTCTAATGGTGGTCTAACAATCATTGATTGATGATTTCAAATGTGTAAGTAACTTTGCACAAGCAATTGTTTCAAATAAGGTGTACACTTACGAAGTTTACTTAAGTTTATGTGAATTAAATGTGATGATTATCACTCACTTGTTAGCAAACTGATAACTTAACTCACTTTTTTTATGACTTTTTTCAAATATCAATACTAATCGATTAATCTTAACTACAAAGTTAAATATGTTGATTCTTTTTTGAACTAAACTTCACTGATTGCCTGTCGCGTTTAAAAGGTTTTTCTTTTTGTAAACATAAAATTGATGCAAATTGAAGTAGCTTGCAGCTGATGAGTAGTATTGAACTATAATGGATTGATGTTATTCTACAGATCTTGTTCTTCTCGGTTTATTGATATATACATGTCTGCTATATTTTATATTGCGTTTCTTAACATCACCTACATCTATGTTATATATTATGATGAGGTATGTTCGAACAATATGGCATTGTAGTAAGTCAGGTACAATGTAGAACTACGTAAGTACTTACATCACTTCAAGTTGTTAAATCACATTAGCACACTGAGATGGAATTATCAATTCAAATCTCATAGTAGAGATAGTAGCAATTTGAGCCGTAATCAAAAAAGATTAGGGTTTTGAAGCAATTATTCAAAAAGTATGATGTAATGAAATGAATTTAAAAAGAGATTAGAAGGGGTCCTGATCACGTGAGAATATGAGAGAAGACTAAGAACAGATGCACAAGACCTATTACAAAAGATGTTGAGCCATGTCATTCAAAGTCCCTTACCATCAGTTACTATCATCTCGAGGACCCCAACCAAGTAGTCTACACATATTGACATGGCTTAGTGCACTTGTCAATAACTTCATGGATTTTCATCATGTTTTGTTTCAGCCGATCTTAGATTTCTTCCAGCCAACTCCTACATCGAAAAACATGGCTCATCGGGGCAATCACTTTCTTCAGCACGCATAACAGATGCCTCAACCACCTCTAGTGACGAAAATCTAATACTTCATCCGTTGACCTGTCATCCTTACAGAGTACTCATTTCCTAACAACCGCACTGCATACTCGGTAGTCCCAGGATGTGCGAGTAGTACTTTGAAGACACCTATGATCGAAAATTAGTAACATACGAATATCCTCTGCTCTTACTGGCCATGTTTCACAGCCATGGAGTAAGATAAAGAAAACTACTGTGTCGTCCTACTCGCCTACGTCATAAGTGACTCAAGGTGGCAAAAGCCCGTCGAATCTTCTCTATCCGTGCTGAGATTTCGTCACATATCACACCATCAGAGCTGATGGAAAAGGAAATTAGGTAGTCATCACGCTTAACTACTTCACTCCCTATTACCATTTCAGGTGCTGATGATGGCATTCAGGTTAACAGGAGATCGTGGGTAACTGAAGCGTGTTTGAAGGTCAGTTGAACCAATCTGTAAAGTGTTCTGCCCATTTATCCGATCCCTTGGATTGCGAATGAATGATACAACCATCCCTTTCCGAGATAGTCTCGCTAACAGTCAGATTTCTAATACGAGTTTCTTTGATAAGTCTGAATAGTTGTGTATTGTTACCTATCACCGTTGCCTTTTCGATCTCTCTTGCGTTCACTACCCACCACTGTTCTCAATCATTGCTTAGGCTTCTTATCAACCATCTCTCAAGCTGACTTCACTCCTCATCGTGTTCTGAGCCAGACAGGATGAGTTTTTGAGCATCTATCAATTCAGTAGATGCCATGTCAAAAGGTGTTTTTACTTATGCTTAAAATTAGTATTTGTTATGAATGGACGCTTATTTGGGCACATTTACTACAAACGGTCGCTATTGTCTGTTCTTTGGTCCGTGACACCATAAGATCCATCCACATGTCTTCCAGCTTTGCATAGTCCACCTAATTGAGCATTATATTCGCTAGCCGCCGTTACTATATCAGAGAGCTTAAATTTTAGGAGGTTCTCTGTAAAACTCAACTTTTACCTCATCTGAACTGCATTTAGTGGGAGCGTAGGCAGAGATACCGAAGAGGAA